TTTATGTAGTGGTAAGACGGCACATGAGAGTAAAATGGTCATGAGACAAATGACATTGAAACTCTCCGATATTTCTCCTGTCACCCCCTCCCCATCACATATAGGTGTACGAACGTATCTCATTGAAACTCTCCGATATCTGGTAGGCTCCGAATTATTTCCCAATGTCATTAGCCTGCTGGCCAACCACAGCCGTTACTTATCCTGCACTGATATCTTTCCAGAAAGACGTTCGTGTTTCACAAACTTCACGCTGAAATCATGGACTTTGTGAGTGTGATTTGCAACAAGAAGGCTGGGAGCCGTATCCACCCTATTGTAAAAGCCGTTGGATATTTCTTGTATAATATACAGGAGGAGAAGAGCAATCCTATAATAACGGTACGAATTACACAGATGCCCATGTTATCGGTTTCGTAGTCTCCATTTCTTCTCTCATGATGTTTAATACTGTATCAGATCGGTTAACCTTTGTGTAAGGAGACACCAGCCTGAAACTACAGTCCTGTCATGCTTTCGACCACCCAAGAATAAATACAGCTCAAGTGGCCTGTGACACTCCGTTCAGTCCGCGTACCATTAACTGTGTATGTTTTAATGCATGTCGTCCCTACAATGCTACATTGTGCCACCTTCTCCTTATTCAGGGCAACTCTGAGCTGTTCACTGTGATGACGCGGAATCTGACGGACCTGCTGAACAACATGGAGGACCACACACTGATGAGGGTCAAATTTGCTGATGCAGCGGTACATGAAGTCCTTGTGAAAGCCATGAACAAGTAGGTCATACTTACCTGATCGTGTCATATCTCGAAAACGATATGAATATATCCACCAAAACAGGCAAAGCAAGTAATGTGTCCTTTATTCCGTCAATACCCAACCCTACATGTTCAGACATCTGTATGTAACACTTTCCCAACACTAACGTATGGGTTCAACAAGGGGACTGAAAATCAAAGCCACTATTATATTTAAACATGTCAAGGATTTAGACACATGCATTTAACAATAATAATGGTGGAATAATTTTTTCATTCGTTCCTTGAGATGACCGTATTCAATCTCTTGGGCTTCCCTTGTCAGACATGCTCTGCTTTATACAGGATTTGATTTTGCCTAGAATAAACGGAACAATGTTAACATTTTGTATTTCACCAAACGGACACAAAATTGACATGGTAAACTTCCACAGTAAAATTTTGTAAAAAACGTATTGAACCCATTAATGATCCCCTGAGATTACCAGGCGTTTAACCAAAAGTGTGTAGGCCCAGCTGTTTATCTTACCAGAACAACACGACAGAGAACGTTGTAAAGGGAACAACATAAGGGACTTCACGTCAAGGTAGAGTTATCAGTTTGAGATTTCAGCCCAGTTTTTTATCTTACCAGAACAACACGACAGAGAACGTTGTAAAGGGAACAACATAAGGGACTTCACGTCAAGGAAGAGTTATCAGTATGAGATTTAATCCCAGCTTTTTATCTTACCAGAACAACACGACAGAGAACGTTGTAAAGGGAACAACATAAGGGACTTCACGTCAAGGAAGAGTTATGAGTATGAGATTTAAGCCCAGCTTTTTATCTTACCAGAACAACACGACAGTGAACGTTGTAAAGGGAGTAACATAAGGGACTTCACGTCAAGGAAGAGTTATGAGTATGAGATTTAAGCCCAGCTTTTTATCTTACCAGAACAACACGACAGAGAACGTTGTAAAGGGAACAACATAAGGGACTTCACGTCAAGGAAGAGTTATCATCGATATTAGTTACCCGTGGTAAACTTCATGTGTATAATTATGCTAAGCTTTAGATATATTGTACATCATATGTGTACTTTCGGTCGCACATATATGACTAACGATTAGAAGGTGTACATGGCTTGAATCTGTTCTAGAACTCCTGAACACCGTCGGCAGATGATAGACCTGATAAAGGCATGCCTTAGGATCAACCAGCCCATGACAGCCAAGGCGGCATATCACTGCGTCAGGGAAACAGAGAAGTTCCTGAAATGGAAGGTAGACCACATTATTATATTATAATATTCTTCACAAAATATACAACAGCTGCAAACACAACTCATACAGTGTGTTAATGGAAGTGACAAAACCTTTTATAAGAAACCTCTGCTAAAAGCAGAATCGATTGTACAATTGGCACTATATCCTGATCATATATTTGTTTCAGCAGAATTGTTCCAAAGGGTAGTTTCTAAAGAAATGAAACTAAACGAATCCTGCTATTCTCCTACATGACATAACGTAAACATGGAAAAATATCCTAAGTGTGAGATTTAATATATAAGGCCTTAAGGATCGAATTGGTCACGCCGTAGAATCTGTAGTAACATCATCTCGGTGTATATTTTCAGGACCATGTGGAAGACGCAAAGGAGATTCTGGACATCTTGATGCCAGTCCGAGTGTTTGGAGAGGAGGAGAAGGAGAGGAAGGATTTCGCTGAGTACTACAAAGACGTTTGCAGTTACTTAGCCGATCAGTTGAAGTAAGGTTACATTTATATCCATACTTTAAGTAAAGTGTATTAGCAAAACGTGTTTAGAACACCATTGCCTGCATTGCACACACAAAAACAACGTGGAGCAGGATTTCATTCCTGTGATATTTCCACCTACAGAATCTCTTCTGCGGCAGAAATTCTGAATTAGAATTAGCCCTTTGACTACTTGTCGACTTGTCGCGAGAGCCGACTAAAATGAAACATCGTTTTTCGAGCAAATAACCAGACTTCTGTCTTGTTAACGTCCGTTGTCGTTAATCCATGATAGAGAGGCATCGTGTCGGAGTACAGAGTCTGGATTTACTTACATTCTTCTCCATGTTGTGTCTTGGAGCTAGTCTTTGTGGAGCTTTGTCTTCGTGTCACGGATTGTAGATCTGCTACACCTTTTCCTCTCATATTGAAACAGCCGTGACGATATGGGCTAGAATGTGTTTATGATAACCCTGCTTGTTATACGAGTTGACTAAGGGTATCGGATGCAAATCATCGTATCCCGATTGCATAGATCGATACTGATGATGTCTATCAGTAGATTGTCAGATCCAAGATCGATTATTTACACTGTGGCATTAAACAACAAACAACAATAAAACATATTAAAACACAACATGGAGATAAACCTCGATAGTGGTGAAAGATATGTGTGCATTTACTTACATAGTAAAACACATTGTGGACGCCTAAATGGCGAACCTCTGTCTATTTAAGCTGCCATTGTGAATCACGGCGAGTATTTACCTACTATAGTAAACATGTATATTTACCCACATTGTTAAACGTTGCATCGATCATATCAACAACTGATATCCTACTCTTACAAACTGCTATCAATATTCTTGTACCGTGTTACACTAATGACAGTATATTATACTATGGCCACTATTTCTTTTCATTACTGAATATAATTCATCCTATGTAAGCTAAAACATAATACATTAGATAGTATGACTCTCACAGCGTGAGAACCTCTAACATGGGGATGTTAACAGGTTAACAGTACTGATTTGTCCGCTCTAATACACAACTGAACGTGATACAAATACACAGGTGCATTTCAAATCTACCGAGGTTAACATTGCAACAACGTCAGATTAATAACATTGACTGACTTTCTCTGTTGGGAAAAAATCCATGAGGGTTATATTTTACTCAAAGCGATAAGACCATAAGAAGAATATAGGAATATGTCAACGTAAAAATCTTATGGTTACATAAAATGACACAGGTATTGCATAACTAACTAAAACGCCGATGGAAGTAATAAACGTTACGACATGGGGCGACTCTTCAATCTGTAGCACACAGAGACCTTGCATTCCGTGATGGTCACATGCCCACTGTCACTATACCATGACACGACGTCACTGTAGCTGTGGTACTACTTAACCAGTTAACTCAGAGAACATAGGTGCAGGATGTACAGAATCCTCTCCTGTCACTCTACCATGACACGACGTCACTGTAGCTGTGGTACTACTTAACCAGTTAACCCAGAGACCATAGGGGCAGGATGTACAGAATCCAGTCCTGTCACTCTACCATGACACGACGTCACTGTAGCTGTGCTTCTACTTAACCAGTTAACCCAGAGAACATAGGTGCAGGATGTACAGAATCCAGTCCTGTCACTCTACCATGACACGACGTCACTGTAGCTGTGGTACTACTTAACCAGTTAACCCAGAGAACATAGGTGCAGGATGTACAGAATCCAGTCCTGTCACTCTACCATGACACGACGTCACTGTAGCTGTGGTACTACTTAACCAGTTAACCCAGAGAACATAGGTGCAGGATGTACAGAATCCTCTCCTGTCACTCTACCATGACACGACGTCACTGTAGCTGTGGTACTACTTAACCAGTTAACCCAGAGAACATAGGTGCAGGATGTACAGAATCCAGTCCTGTCACTCTACCATGACACGACGTCACTGTAGCTGTGGTACTACTTAACCAGTTAACCCAGAGAACATAGGTGCAGGATGTACAGAATCCAGTCCTGTCACTCTACCATGACACGACGTCACTGTAGCTGTGGTACTACTTAACCAGTTAACCCAGAGAACATAGGTGCAGGATGTACAGAATCCAGTCCTGTCACTCTACCATGACACGACGTCACTGTAGCTGTGGTACTACTTAACCAGTTAACCCAGAGAACATAGGTGCAGGATGTACAGAATCCAGTCCTGTCACTCTACCATGACACGACGTCACTGTAGCTGTGGTACTACTTAACCAGTTAACCCAGAGAACATAGGTGCAGGATGTACAGAATCCAGTCCTGTCACTCTACCATGACACGACGTCACTGTAGCTGTGGTACTACTTAACCAGTTAACCCAGAGAAACATAGGTGCAGGATGTACAGAATCCAGTCCTGTCACTCTACCGTGACACGACGTCACTGTAGCTGTGGTACTACTTAACCAGTTAACCCAGAAAACATAGGTGCAGGATGTACAGAATCCAGTCCTGTCACTCTACCATGACACGACGTCACTGTAGCTGTGGTACTACTTAACCAGTTAACCCAGAGAACATAGGTGCAGGATGTACAGAATCCAGTCCTGTCACTCTACCATGACACGACGTCACTGTAGCTGTGGTACCATAACCAGTTAACCCAGAGAACATAGGTGCAGGATCAGAATCTGTCCTGTCACTCTACCATGACACGACGTCACTGTAGCTGTGGTACTACTTAACCAGTTAACCCAGAGAACATAGGTGCAGGATGTACAGAATCCAGTCCTGTCACTCTACCATGACACGACGTCACTGTAGCTGTGGTACTACTTAACCAGTTAACCCAGAGAACATAGGTGCAGGATGTACAGAATCCAGTCCTGTCACTCTACCATGACACGACGTCACTGTAGCTGTGGTACTACTTAACCAGTTAACCCAGAGAACATAGGTGCAGGATGTACAGAATCCAGTCCTGTCACTCTACCATGACACGACGTCACTGTAGCTGTGGTACTACTTAACCAGTTAACCCAGAGAACATAGGTGCAGGATGTACAGAATCCAGTCCTGTCACTCTACCATGACACGACGTCACTGTAGCTGTGGTACTACTTAACCAGTTAACCCAGAGAACATAGGTGCAGGATGTACAGAATCCAGTCCTGTCACTCTACCATGACACGACGTCACTGTAGCTGTGGTACTACTTAACCAGTTAACCCAGAGAACATAGGTGCAGGATGTACAGAATCCAGTCCTGTCACTCTACCATGACACGACGTCACTGTAGCTGTGGTACTACTTAACCAGTTAACCCAGAGAACATAGGTGCAGGATGTACAGAATCCAGTCCTGTCACTCTACCATGACACGATGTCACTGTAGCTGTGGTACTACTTAACCAGTTAACCCAGAGAACATAGGTGCAGGATGTACAGAATCCAGTCCTGTCACTCTACCATGACACGACGTCACTGTAGCTGTGGTACTACTTAACCAGTTAACCCAGAGAACATAGGTGCAGGATGTACAGAATCCAGTCCTGTCACTCTACCATGACACGACGTCACTGTAGCTGTGGTACTACTTAACCAGTTAACCCAGAGAACATAGGTGCAGGATGTACAGAATCGAGTCCTGTCACTCTCCCATGACACGACGTCACTGTAGCTGTGGTACTACTTAACCAGTTAACCCAGAGAACATAGGTGCAGGATGTACAGAATCCAGTCCTGTCACTCTACCATGACACGACGTCACTGTAGCTGTGGTACTACTTAACCAGTTAACCCAGAGAACATAGGTGCAGGATGTACAGAATCCAGTCCTGTCACTCTACCATGACACGACGTCACTGTAGCTGTGGTACTACTTAACCAGTTAACCCAGAGAACATAGGTGCAGGATGTACAGAATCCAGTCCTGTCACTCTACCATGACACGACGTCACTGTAGCTGTGGTACTACTTAACCAGTTAACCCAGAGAACATAGGTGCAGGATGTACAGAATCAGTCCTGTCACTCTACCATGACACGACGTCACTGTAGCTGTGGTACTACTTAACCAGTTAACCCAGAGAACATAGGTGCAGGATGTACAGAATCCAGTCCTGTCACTCTACCATGACACGACGTCACTGTAGCTGTGGTACTACTTAACCAGTTAACCCAGAAAACATAGGTGCAGGATGTACAGAATCCAGTCCTGTCACTCTACCATGACACGACGTCACTGTAGCTGTGGTACTACTTAACCAGTTAACCCAGAGAACATAGGTGCAGGATGTACAGAATCCAGTCCTGTCACTCTACCATGACACGACGTCACTGTAGCTGTGGTACTACTTAACCAGTTAACCCAGAAAACATAGGTGCAGGATGTACAGAATCCAGTCCTGTCACTCTACCATGACACGACGTCACTGTAGCTGTGGTACTACTTAACCAGTTAACCCAGAGAACATAGGTGCAGGATGTACAGAATCCAGTCCTGTCACTCTACCATGACACGACGTCACTGTAGCTGTGGTACTACTTAACCAGTTAACCCAGAGAACATAGGTGCAGGATGTACAGAATCCAGTCCTGTCACTCTACCATGACACGACGTCACTGTAGCTGTGGTACTACTTAACCAGTTAACCCAGAGAACATAGGTGCAGGATGTACAGAATCCTCTCCTGTCACTCTACCATGACACGACGTCACTGTAGCTGTGGTACTACTTAACCAGTTAACCCAGAGAACATAGGTGCAGGATGTACAGAATCCAGTCCTGTCACTCTACCATGACACGACGTCACTGTAGCTGTGGTACTACTTAACCAGTTAACCCAGAGAACATAGGTGCAGGATGTACAGAATCCTCTCCTGTCACTCTACCATGACACGACGTCACTGTAGCTGTGGTACTACTTAACCAGTTAACCCAGAGAACATAGGTGCAGGATGTACAGAATCCAGTCCTGTCACTCTACCATGACACGACGTCACTGTAGCTGTGGTACTACTTAACCAGTTAACCCAGAGAACATAGGTGCAGGATGTACAGAATCCAGTCCTGTCACTCTACCATGACACGACGTCACTGTAGCTGTGGTACTACTTAACCAGTTAACCCAGAGAACATAGGTGCAGGATGTACAGAATCCAGTCCTGTCACTCTACCATGACACGACGTCACTGTAGCTGTGGTACTACTTAACCAGTTAACCCAGAGAACATAGGTGCAGGATGTACAGAATCCAGTCCTGTCACTCTACCATGACACGACGTCACTGTAGCTGTGGTACTACTTAACCAGTTAACCCAGAAAACATAGGTGCAGGATGTACAGAATCCAGTCCTGTCACTCTACCATGACACGACGTCACTGTAGCTGTGGTACTACTTAACCAGTTAACCCAGAAAACATAGGTGCAGGATGTACAGAATCCAGTCCTGTCACTCTACCATGACACGACGTCACTGTAGCTGTGGTACTACTTAACCAGTTAACCCAGAGAACATAGGTGCAGGATGTACAGAATCCAGTCCTGTCACTCTACCATGACACGACGTCACTGTAGCTGTGGTACTACTTAACCAGTTAACCCAGAGAACATAGGTGCAGGATGTACAGAATCGAGTCCTGTCACTCTACCATGACACGACGTCACTGTAGCTGTGGTACTACTTAACCAGTTAACCCAGAGAACATAGGTGCAGGATGTACAGAATCCAGTCCTGTCACTCTACCATGACACGACGTCACTGTAGCTGTGGTACTACTTAACCAGTTAACCCAGAGAACATAGGTGCAGGATGTACAGAATCCCTCTCCTGTCACTCTACCATGACACGACGTCACTGTAGCTGTGGTACTACTTAACCAGTTAACCCAGAGAACATAGGTGCAGGATGTACAGAATCGAGTCCTGTCACTCTCCCATGACACGACGTCACTGTAGCTGTGGTACTACTTAACCAGTTAACCCAGAAAACATAGGTGCAGGATGTACAGAATCCAGTCCTGTCACTCTACCATGACACGACGTCACTGTAGCTGTGGTACTACTTAACCAGTTAACCCAGAGAACATAGGTGCAGGATGTACAGAATCCTCTCCTGTCACTCTACCATGACACGACGTCACTGTAGCTGTGGTACTACTTAACCAGTTAACCCAGAGAACATAGGTGCAGGATGTACAGAATCCAGTCCTGTCACTCTACCATGACACGACGTCACTGTAGCTGTGGTACTACTTAACCAGTTAACCCAGAAAACATAGGTGCAGGATGTACAGAATCCAGTCCTGTCACTCTACCATGACACGACGTCACTGTAGCTGTGGTACTACTTAACCAGTTAACCCAGAGAACATAGGTGCAGGATGTACAGAATCCTCTCCTGTCACTCTACCATGACACGACGTCACTGTAGCTGTGGTACTACTTAACCAGTTAACCCAGAGAACATAGGTGCAGGATGTACAGAATCCAGTCCTGTCACTCTACCATGACACGACGTCACTGTAGCTGTGGTACTACTTAACCAGTTAACAAAGAAAACATAGGTGCAGGATGTACAGAATCCTCTCCTGTCACTCTACCATGACACGACGTCACTGTAGCTGTGGTACTACTTAACCAGTTAACAAAGAAAACATAGGTGCAGGATGTACAGAATTCAGTCCTGTCACTCTGCCATGACACGACGTCACTGTAGCTGTGGTACTACTTAACCAGTTAACCCAGAGAACATAGGTGCAGGATGTACAGAATTCTGTCCTGTATGGGGGCCGTATAACTGTGATTTACTGCAAGTGTTATACATTTTGTTTCCAGGAGAGATCGTGTTATTCCCCAGATGGTTGACAAAATGGTGGAATTTAGTCTGAAATTTATGGAGAAGAGAGAAGGACTCCTGTTTGAAGCTGGGAGTGAAATAGCAGATGAAATCGAGTTCAACGGAAGGGTGAGCACGAATTTCTGATAAATTTTCTTAATTGTTCTAAAAGTTAAAACTGGGAAATTTATCCAGAAAAATATTTATCCAGCTTATAACATAGTGAAATCTTGTAATGCGTGTTCTATTTATTATGTCTTATCAGAAAAACAAGGACCTGATTATGTCGACGTTTTCCAAGCTCTTGCCGTACTTGAAGGATCCAAACTTCCCCTGGAACGCCGATAGGTTCCGGTACTCAGGCAGGATGGTTGTGAAGCTGGCGTCGGGCGCCATTGGAGCTTTGTGAGTCGTACCTTTAAACACAGCTTTAGAAACTAGAGGACTCGATCCGAGAGGTAGAGGGACTAGTACACAGGATAAAATAATAGAAAGCTACTCTGACGTACATCCTGAATCAGATTAAATGGCATCGACAGAGGATAAACACGTGAAACATATTGATGGTGTAGTTAAATGGATTAAATATAATTCAATAAGGATGTATAAACACTGAAGGCTCATTCCATTGGTTATCTTGCAGAAAACCCAAAACAGATAAAATATAACATTAAGAGGATGTATAAACACTGAAGGCTTATACCATTGCCTGTCTTACAGAGAACCCAAACAGATTAAATATAACATTATGAGGATGTATAAACACTGAAGGCTTATTCCATTGCCTGTCTTACAGAGAACCCAAACAGATTAAATATAACATTATGAGGATGTATAAACGCTGGAGGCTTATTCCATTGCCTGTCATACAGAGAACCCAAACAGATTAAATATAACATTATGAGGATGTATAAACACTGAAGGCTTATTCCATTGCCTGTCATACAGAGAACCCAAACAGATTAAATATAACATATATGAGGATGTATAAACACTGAAGGCTTATTCCATTGCCTGTCTTACAGAGAACCCAAACAGATTAAATATAACATTATGAGGATGTATACACGCTGGAGGCTTATTCTATTGCCTGTCTTACACAGAACCGCAAAAAAATTAAATATAACATTATGAGGATGTATAAACACTGAAGGCTTATTCCATTGGTTATCTTACAGAGAACCCAAACAGATTAAATTTAACATTATGAGGATGTATAAACACTGAAGGCTTATTCCATTGCCTGTCTTACAGAGAACCCAAACAGATTAAATATAACATTATGAGGATGTATAAACACTGAAGGCTCATTCTATTGCCTGTCAAACAGAGTTATATATAACATTATGAGGATGTATAAACACTGACGGCTTATTCCATTGCCTGTCTTACAGAGAACCCAAACAGATTAAATATAACATTATGGGGATGTATAAACACTGAAAGCTTATTCCATTGCCTGTCTTACAGAGAACCCAAACAGATTAAATATAACATCATGAGTATGAATAAACACCGAAGGCTCATTCTATTGCCTGTCATACAGAGAACCCAAACAGATTAAATATAACATTATGAGGATGTATAAACACTGAAGGCTTATTCCATTGCCTGTCTTACAGAGAACCCAAACAGATTAAATATAACATTATGAGGATGTATAAACACTGAAGGCTCATTCTATTGCCTGTCATACAGAGAACCCAAACAGATTAAATATAACATTAAAAATGAGGATGTATAAACACTGAAGGCTTATTCCATTGCCTGTCTTACAGAGAACCCAAACAGATTAAATATAACATTATGAGGATGTATAAACACTGAAGGCTTATTCCATTGCCTGTCTTACAGAGAACCCAAACAGATTAAATATAACATTATGAGGATGTATAAACACTGAAGGCTTATTCCATTGCCTGTCATACAGAGAACCCAAACAGATTAAATATATCATTATGAGGATGTATAAACACTGAAGGCTCATTCTATTGCCTGTCTTACAGAGAACCCAAACAGATAAAATGTATCATTCTGAGGATGTATAAACACTGAAGGCTTATTCCATTGGTTATCTTACAGACACCCCAAACAGATTAAATGTAACATTATGAGGATGTATAAACACTGGAGGCTCATTCCATTGGTTATTTTATTGAGAACCCATACAGATTAAATATAACATTATGAGGATGTATAAACACTGACGGCTTATTCCATTGCCTGTCTTACAGAGAACCGAAACAGATTAAATATAACATTATGTGGATGTATAAACACTGAAGGCTCATTGTATTGCCTGTCATACAGAGTTAAATATAACATTATGAGGATGTATAAACACTGAAGTCTTAATCCATTGCCTGTCTTACAGAGAACCCAAACAGATTAAATATAACATTATGAGGATGTATACAGAGAACCCAAACAAGTATAACATTATGAGGATGTATAAACACTGACGGCTTATTCCATTGCCTGTCTTACAGAGAACCCAAACAGATTAAACATAAGATTATGAGGATGTATAAACACTGTAGGATCATTATTGCCTGAGGAACCCAAACAGATTAAATATAACAAACACTGAAGGCTCATTCCATTGCCTGTCTTACAGAGAACCCAAACAGACAAAATATAACATTATGAGGATGTATAAACACTGAAGGCTTATTCCATTGCCTGTCTTACAGAGAACCCCAGACAAAATATAACATTATGAGGATGTTTAAAACAGATTAACAGATATATCATTATGAGGATGTATAAACACTGAAGGCTCATTCTATTGCCTGTCTTACAGAGAACCCAAACAGATAAAATGTATCATTCTGAGGATGTATAAACACTGAAGGCTTATTCCATTGGTTATCTTACAGACACCCCAAACAGATTAAATGTAACATTATGAGGATGTATAAACACTGGAGGCTCATTCCATTGGTTATCTTATTGAGAACCCAAACAGATTAAATATAACATTATGGGGATGTATAAACACTGAAGGCTTATTCCATTGCCTGTCTTACAGAGAACCCAAACAGATTAAATATAACATTATGAGGATGTATAAACACTGAAGTCTTATTCCATTGCCTGTCTTACAGAGAACCCAAACAGATTAAATATAACATTATGGGGATGTATAAACACTGAAGGCTCATTGTATTGCCTGTCATACAGAGTTAAATATAACATTATGAGGATCTATAAACACTGAATTCTTATTCCATTGCCTGTCTTACAGAGAACCCAAACAGATTAAATATAACATTATGAGGATGTATAAACACTGAAGTCTTATTCCATTGCCTGTCTTACAGAGAACCCAAACAGATTAAATATAACATTATGGGGATGTATAAACACTGAAGGCTTATTCCATTGCCTGTCTTACAGAGAACCCAAACAGATTAAATATAACATTATGAGGATGTATAAACACTGAAGGCTTATTCCATTGCCTGTCTTACAGAGAACCGAAACAGATTAAATATAACATTATGAGGATGTATAAACACTGAAGGCTTATTCCATTGCCTGTCTTACAGAGAACCCTAACAGATTAAACATAAGATTATGAGGATGTATAAACACTGTAGGTTCATTCTCATTGCCTGTCTTACAGAGATTTGAACAGATTAACATCGTATATAACATTCCTGAGGATGTATAAACTGTGAAGGCTTATTCTGGCCTTCTCATCCTGTCTTACAGAGAACCCAAACAGATTAAATATAACATTATGAGGATGTATAAACACTGAAGGCTCATTCTATTGCCTGTCATACAGAGAACCCAAACAGATTAAATATAACATTATGGGGATGTATAAACACTGAAAGCTTATTCCATTGCCTGTCTTACAGAGAACCCAAACAGATTAAATATAACATTTTGAGGATGTATAAACACTGAAGGCTTATTCCATTGCCTGTCTTACAGAGAACCCAAACAGATTAAACATAACATTATGAGGATGTATAAACACTGAAGGCTCATTTTATTGGTTATCCTTGCAGAGAACCCAAAACCATTACTGAAAGGGATCTAGGTGCCATTGCCTACTTCGTGAAAACTGTGATGCAGGGAGACTTCATTGATGAGGAAGCTAACAAACCAACTACAGTGTATTTCCGGCTGTACTGTTCAGTCGGGACAAAGTTCCTCCAGCTTGTAAGTAGTTTAGTTTCAAAATATTCAACTTAAGGAAGGCGTGTTGTATGATATTTTTGTTCAGGGAACAAACGTTGAAGGTTGGAATTCAACTCTTTCTTTACTGGTCTGAAAAGCTTCAACCGGAGAACATGTTTCAGCATGACTTTGAACATTATGTTTCAAAAGAATTTTGCTGACTAACCTATAACCATATTCAGAGTTGAATTAGGGTTCGAACCCACACGCATACATTTGTTGTTAGGGACATAACTCTGAACAGTAGACACATCTAAAATATGTATACTACATCATGGACACTCCCTTTAGTTAATCATTGTTATTTGAAACCTCTTTCTCACCTGTCGGGATATTATGCATAATGTGTTCCAAATTAAGGTCAGCGTAAAATTTGATGTAACCCATCTATTAAATCCTACCTTATATAGAAGACACATGTTTATCCCAGGTGATACCTTTGCCACACTGTGTGATGAAACATGCTTTACTTATATCCTGACTAATACTTCTTCTTCCTTCAACAGCTGGACGACCAGGAGAAGGTGCAGCGAGCCATCCTGGTAGTGAGGGAGATTGTCAACTTGATGACTCATGAATTTAACGAAGTGTCTGACATAGCCACGACCCAGGTGACCGTTGTTGTTGCGAATGGGGCCAAGGTCATGGTACCTTTCTTTCCCAAGCTGATGGAAATCTACATGGACACAGAGAACTCGGCATTATTGTGTATGTGTCGCTCTGGCTTTTTTAATGTTGTATGTGGGATTATACTTTCTCTGTAAAATACTAATTCTAGTACTTTGTTGGGTTGAGTCTCATCCGGGATTCGAACACACGCTCTACCCCTCTGACAAGTGTAAATTGGCAGGGCTCCCACAGCAAAGAGCTTTGAAGTCACAATGTCATTTACAGGACTCCCTGAATTTGTTTCTCAGGACGCTGTCACCGAGAGATTTCACTGCATCATAGAGGCTGTGACTGTGTGACTGTTCTGTTTTTGCAGATCCGCTGAGTCAGATCTATCCACATTACCCCAAACTTCAAGATCAACAATTCCAAACACTGTTCGAGCTGATCGACACCCCACAACGATCGTCAGTGTTGCACTGGTTTGTAGAGGTAGCCAAGAAACAACCTAACGTAAGTTGGTGTACTAGTGGACGTACTGTGTCAGTGATGGATCTGTCACATAATAATATACACATAGGGGTTCAAATATCAGATGTGAGTGTGTGAGTTAAACGTCGTATCGGCACTATTTCGCCATATAGCGCCCCAGATCGAGAGGCGCTGTAGGACGTTGGTCCACACAAAGCTCAAATTACATATGTATGGAGGTGTTTCGGTCAAGGTTGACTAGATGTTTTCATTCCAAACTTGACGTTCGTACTGCACGCAAGAGGCCTGTCATTCATACGGGCTAGCTGATACAGCGACTCCATCGACCGTGGGTTGCTATACAACACATTGTGTATCTGTTTCTCCACACATTCATGACAGTTATGTTCAACGTAATTTGTTTAATTTATTTTATTATTTCATGTAACCAAAGTCTTCCATCATAAACGGCCGTTACATAATGACATGTACAAATACATGAACATAATCAGATATCCAACATACTAGGATGTAACATAGTTAGACCTGTGAAATATCAGCCTGTACAGGGTGTTGTATGTGGTGCCACACCCAACATATCATGTTTTATATAGCGCAACATGCAGCATAGAGTGTTGTATATAGCGTCATATCAGACATAGCATATTGTATATGGGGTCACATCCAACATATGTTGTATATTGCGCAACATCCAAAATAAGTTGTCATGTCCGAAATATCGTATTGTAAATAGCATATCATACGACCTGTCATGTTGTATATAGCACCATATCCGACATATCATATTGTATATAGGGCCACATCTGATCTTTCCTGCTATATATAGCGTCACATCCAACATATCATATTGTATATTGCGGCACCTCTGACATATCATGCACAGCACCCAGCGAACAATGTTTTATATAGCGCCATATCAGAAATATCATGCTGTATATGGGGTCACGTCACATCCGACATATGTTGTAATTAGCGCAACATCCGAAATATCATGCTATATATAGCGTCATATCCGACATATCATAAAATGTATAGCATTACATCTGACATGTCATGTTGTATATAGCATCATGTACAACATGTCATATTGTTTAAAGCACCACATCTGACATATGCTGTATATTGCATCACATCTGATCAATCATGTTGTATAATGCGCCACAACCAACATATCATGTTGTATATTGCATACACCTCTGACATATTATGTTGTATATAGCGCCACATCCAACATACCATGTTGTACATAAAGCCGCATCTAACATATCATGTTGTATATAGCGCAACACCCGACATACGATATTGTATATAGAGTCACGTCCGACCTATCGTGTTGTACATAGTTGTCCTATCTGACATATATTGTATATACGTCTTATCTAACATATGTTGTATTTAGTGCCACATCTGACATATCATGTTGTATATAGCGCAACACCCGACATACGATATTGTATATAGAGTCACGTCCGACCTATCGTGTTGTACATAGTGTCTTATCTAACATATATTGTATATACGTCTTATCTAACATATGTTGTATATAGTGCCATATGTGACATATCATGTTGTATATAGCGCAACACCCGACATACGATGTTGTATATAGAGTCACGTCCGACCTATCGTGTTGTACATAGTGTCTTATCTAACATATATTGTATATGCGTCTTATCTAACATATGTTGTATAGAGTGCCATATGTGACATATCATGCTGTGTCTTGTGTCACATCCAATGTGTATTGTATATTGCGCCACATCCTACTTATTGTGTTGTATATTGTGTCATGTATCCGCCCTATAATATATGTTCCCAATGTTACATCAGTGCACCTACACATACGTTAACTAATTAATCAATACATAGCTAAAACAAAGATAATTTTTCAAAAGGGGAAACAGATCAAAATTTTACAAAAGCGGTTGTTGCATACACAGGTCAGGTTTGAATACTGGGAATAACGGATTCCATTTATTTGCAGATTTCTTCATTTCACTCTTTCTTTTGGCAATGAAGCTTTCAACAGAAAAAAAAATCTTTTAAAGTCTTTATACAGATACTGCATTTTGGAATATTGCTTTTCAGAGAAGAGACATAAATGTGTCTCTTTGCTGAAATGATTATGATTAAGTAATGGGTTTTTACTTAAGGAACCAGAATACACCAAAGATTTTGTCAGATTAACTTTTTGTATCAAATGGGTGTTAATCCAAATTTGAAGATCAGTCCAAAACTTCTTAGTTTCACAACATTCCCAGTAAACATGGCACAAGTTTTCATCCTCATCTTTACAAAAGGTGCATGAGGCACTTTGGATAAGGTTAATTGGTAACAGTTCCTTTTTGGTATAGATAATACCATGTAAAAATTTAAATTGGAAATCTAAGAGTTTTACATCATTAATGTCATTGGCCAATCAAAATCAGTATCATCAAACGCTTTCTCTTTCAACGTAATTTTGTTTCAAAAATTTTAACACTTTTTTTAAAGATACATATGTTAAAATGCATTTCTGTGTTTCCGTCAATGACTTAAAGCAAATGTTGCAATGTCATGTTGTCGAGAAACCTTACGAGCACCAAACACTCTATGCATATTTCACCCGTGAAGGTCCGGGTTAGAATGTGCCTTCAGTAACCCGTGCTTGTCGTAAGAAGCGACTAACGGGATTGGGTGGTCAGGCTCGCTGACTTAGTTGACATATGTCATCGGTTCCCAATTGCGCAGATCGATGCTCATGCTGTTGATCCCTGGATTGTCTGGTCCAGACTTGATTATTTACAGACCGCCGCCATATAGCTGGAATATTGTTGAGTGCGGCGTAAAACTAAACCCACTCACTCACTATGCATATTTCGTAAAATTGACTTGTGTAGATCTTTGTTTTTAGTGAGATTAGGATGATAACATAACAAACGTGAAACGACGGACTAACCATTATCATTAAACATTGAAATTACTGATGACGTAAAAGCAAACCATTATGACACACATAGTAGAACTTAAAACGACAGATAGGTCACAATTATGCAGCAAGACGCTTCAAAAGGCCGTACCATGCATGTAACTATCTGAGGGTATTTCAACTGTTCTAGTTGTTCACGGGCGACAATATTGCTAAGGTGATTGAGGAGATGTTCCAAGGCGATGAAAGAATGCAGGCAACATACATGATGATCTTGGAAGCACTCTCCAAGAAGGTTCCACGCATCCTCATCCCCCATCTGAAGGCCTTGAAGGATGGCGATGTTAACTCACAGTATGGTGCCAAGTATCAACTCTTCCTGGTTCTCAAGAACGTAGCGATTAGGAGTGAAGATGAGGTGCACTGTTCTTAATAAATTCAAATAGTATTCCCTAACATCACTTTATTAGCATATTTCAAATTACTAAAGACATTATCAGAATGTCAGAATGCCTTGAAACTCCTAAAATCATTGTTAACCATCAAACTCGGAAATAACACAACAGGCAAAACAGTGAAACATCTATGCATTGATTACTGAAAGGTATTTGTTAATACACAAGTTTGGTTCATTTTGACTTTTAGTATTGTTTATCAATAAGAAGTGCAGGAGGTTTTACAAAGTCAAACTAACTGGAGCTTAACTGAACCTAAGCTGATACCAAATTAACAGCAATACGTACAGAGGCACCTCGATTATGTTTTTGAGAGAAATATTTAAGGCTGAAGGACATGCACTATGACAGCTCCGTGGACGAAAAACTGGAAACTGTTAAATGATGTAAGAATATAGATGTTGTTTATAAAACCGGCTTTGGTGGCAACGGTCGACTGGACTTGTTTGAATAATGTTAGTACACATGCAAACACATCCAGTACAGGGTTCTAGGGAATACTGTAAGGAACGTTCTGTCGTTCTCAGGATTGTAACCCTTCGCAGCAAATTGAAAAGAATCATGTGCAAGAATGCGCGATCGCCAGAACATTTTGCATAGTTAGCTCGAGAAATGTCCCTTACAGTATGCCAAAGGCTCCTGTTGACTGATAAGTCACATCTAACAGTACGTCCCTTCATGCTGGTCATACAGGGATGAACGTATCAGTAACAACAGGTGATTAATGAAATTCAATCTTAAAGACAAAAAGTTTGTTCACGTATTTCAAACCATTGATCTGTTACTAGATTTATCAAACAAATAGAGGACCGAAATATGTAACGTGCTTCAAAAGATTATATGTATGGCCATACTCATAGCATATTTTTGTAACACAGGCTGTGGCAGAAGATTGTATGATATACCTGGAGAAGCTCCTTCGGGGTCCTGAAGATGACATGGTGACTACCACCTGCCTGAATGAGATGCGGGCTATAGGCGGCGTATACCGACCACTGTTAGAACGTCGTAAACCAGCCATAGAGGACTTGAGGAAACGGACTACGTCACAGACAACAAAGGACCAGTGTACCTTCATCTTGGATGTCCTGGAAGGCAGAAGGTGAGAATATGTTGGCTCTGTCCAGATAAGGTCCGAATTCATTGTTCCTGGTCAAAATTGTTTGCTTTTAGAAATGTAAAAAACACTGAAACGTTTATTGAATATTGTATCTGGTTATGTACTATATATTGTAAACCTAAAGCCTGGAGTCCTTGGCTGAGGACATCAAAGATGTGAAGGAAGATGTTGAGGAACTGGACACACGAGTGACCAGGACTGAGGTGGGCCTGGTCCTGCTTAACCAAGAGGTGGGTGAACAGCGCGAGGAGCTGGATGGGTCAAAGTAGATGTGAAGACTCAAGGCGAGAAGATTGGCCAGCTTGAGGAGACAGTGGATGACACCAAGGCTAAAGTGGAGGAACTCGACGGAAAGGTAACAAACCCTTGTAGGGCATGACTGCTAAAGTGGAGACAACCGCATTATCCGACAATAACAACCAAAAAAAACATGATATTTACTACTGTAGCGAACAACATCTAAGGAAAAGCATTACGTTGGCAACTGACTGCACCGTTAAAGTATATAAAAATCATTATAGGATTTACGTCTCTCTTTCATGAATCGTACAGACATTGAGTCACGCTCCTTTTTGGGCAAGAGACGTGGCCAAACTCCTCAACCCCGAAGACCTTCTAGACTGGACACTTCTCTCTATGCGTCTAGGCTACACCAATGATGACATCAGGAGCTGGGCTCAGATGCACGACCCATGTATGGCCATGCTGAATGAATGGTACGCCACTCGGAAGACGAGGGAAGCCACATATGCGGTGCTGACAGCACTGCAAGAGATGGACAGATTGGACGCTGCTGTCATTGTGGAGAACGCAATGAAGATGACAGGTAAACAATGCATTTTATCACCTATTTTACAACACTTTCTTACTTGTTTACCAAATCTTAGCAATCATACTATTCAATGCTGATGGAGAGAATCTATCCTGTCGTGACAATTGTAGCTATCATCAAAGTGCGAGTTCATTTGTTTCGAAAATCGAATCGAGATCTTGTCACCATAGTATTAAGACCATAGGATGGTGAAACGTTCCTCAGAGGCTGTAGTGGAGGACGAAGAGTTCGAGTACCCGGAGCCTCCAGAGGTGTTCATCAGCTACCAGTGGGGAATCCAGAACGAGGTGAAGCTTCTGAAGCAGCACCTGGAGAAGGCGGGCTTCACGTGCTGGATGGACATTGGTCAGATGGGAGGTGGAGACAAGCTGTTCGAGAAGATCGACAAGGGAATCAGGGCAGCCAAGCTCGTCATCTGTTGTGTCACTGGGAAGTATGCCAAATCTCCAAACTGCAATCGAGAGGTATTTGGTTAAGTTCAATTCAAAGCAAAGTGTATTTTCTATTCATATTACGTTTAAATTTGCAAAAATGAATATATAGATATTCTTGGCTTCAATTATGATGGATATATCAATTACTGTGAACATGTGACCTACTTGCATGTAATTGTGATCAATGATGTACAATGTACAATGAGTTTTAAATTTCTTGTCTTCAGGTGAACCTCTCGGTAAGCCTGGGTAAGCCCATCATCCCTCTGTTGATGGAGAAACTGTCATGGCCTCCACCAGGCTCAATGGGGCCAATCTTCAGTGAGTATCTGTTCATCCGATTCTTCACCCGTCCTGGGGGAGGAGACTGGTGATATCAGGTACTGGTCGGCAGCCAAGTTCCAGGAACTCCTGATGCAGGTCAACTACAACAACGTCAAGCCGGATGAGCAGAAGGTGGAAAAAGGTGGGCAAACGTGGACACATAGACAGATAGAGGGAGATGGGACGCAATACTGCAAAAACTGTGTTCCACAGGAGATATTGCTTGTGTGCGATCAGATGTCCTAGGTGGATATCGTTTTGATAGTAGATTTTGCACAATGCCCTGACAATGCTATGACATCGCTGCACTGCAAGTCAAATGGCAGTACTGTGATCAAAGATGTACATTTTTCATCGAAAACTAATGAAGAGTGATTTTTTTATCAACACGTGGTGATATATTTGATATCAAAAGACACTGGGGTGAGATTCTCTATGTAGGTGCATGCGTGCGTGCATGCTTGCGTATCTGATTGAAATGCAATATATGTTCGACGTTTTCCATATGTTTAAGAGGTATGTTGAAAACAATATGTAGAATTGCCATGCACTTGTGTTTCATCCTTTTCAGTAATGTTTCCTTATAGCGTTTTGCCTAATGTTGGAATTCACATGAATGTGAAGAAGTGTCATAACATGACAGTTTTTTGTCACACAGAATACAAGAACTGGTGGTGTCCTATGGCTGAAGTCATCAAGATAGAGAAGAAGGACGTGAAGACGATGACGGCCGCCAGTCAACAGAAGCAGGAGGAGGTGGAGGTTGGTAGATCAGGCCAGTTAGAATATTAACTTCAGTATACTTCCGAAATTATTACTTTCGTCGAGCATGTGTATCACTTGTTTATGTGCAGCTTTGTGCGAGTTGTTTGTAAAGACATTAGGTAAGACAGGGTCTATTCAGATCTTAGATTTACTCGGAACTTTTCACTGTTTTGCAGTTATACTTCAGACGGATTGACACAGTAGACTTTAAGTTTAGCAAATATTTCCAACGGCTATTGAAAGCGTTTTATTCATTCCAATATTTACGATAGCATCGTTTTGAACAGTATAGTTTTTACATGAATATGGTTATGAGAGAACATACACTGTTGATAGGTTACATTTCTTCTCTCTTCTTAATTCGTATTGAATATTTACAGTCTGGATCAGCGTCTCCTGATGTGTTCATCTCCTACCAGTGGGGAAAACAGAAGCAGATTCAGCTCATGTACAAGCGCCTGACTGAGATGGGCTTCACCGTCTGGATGGACATCTACCAAATGGGAGGTGGGGACTCCCTCTTTGACAAAATTGACAAGGGTGTGCGAGGGGCAAAGGTCGTTCTTTCATGTGTCACCACGAAGTATTCTCTGTCGGCCAACTGCCGGAGGGAAGTCAGTCTTGCTGATGCCCTCAAGAAACCAATAGTTCCTCTGTTGCTGGAGAAGATGACGTGGCCACCATCAGGTCCAATGAGCATGGTGTTCACTCAGCTGTTGTATATCAACTTTGGGAAGGATGAAACTGTACAGGAAAGATGGGACGGAGACAAGTTTGATGAACTGTTGACTAAACTGGACCAGTATGTGCCGGATATCATCGTGTCAGATGAGGAGGAACAGGAGGAATCTGTGAATACTGAAGATAAAAAGGACAGACCACCACCTACCCCGGAACCAGAACCAACAGTAGAGCCTGAACAACCACCACAGACACAACAGCAATCTCAACAGCAACAAGCACCACCACAGCAGTATCAACAACCCCCTCCTCAACAGCATCGACAGCCACCTCCTCAACAGCCTCCGCCGCAGCATCAACAGCCACCTCCTCAACAGCGCCCACCGCAGCAACAGCAACAACCACGAACGCATCAACCAATGCCCAATCAACCTGAGCAAAAGAAGTCAAAGTCCTGTTTGATATTGTAGTGACTCAATGATGCCTTTTGGCATGGTGCCTTCAGTGATCCATTCGTATAGTTTTGGAATCTGGAGAAACGAGACTGATTGATATCATTTATCTGTTGTAGGAGAGATGCCCAGTTCTGTGGAATATATGTCGCTCACCTTGTTACGAATATATAGAAACCCGTTGAAATAGTATGCTTTAGTGTGACCCTTCGAAATGGTATGATTTAGTGTGATCACAATATTGCGAATGTATGGCATAAACAGTTTTGATACGCCATGTGTATTTCAGAATGCTCTTATTACTAAATAATATGTTATTACTGTAATATGCTTGAAGTATGGATGGCCTGTATGCTCACAGAAATGTTATTTATTTTAAGGGTAATGAATCTATTATATAGTATGAAATGATCATTTGTTAATGTGAATCAGATCAAAATGTTTACTTGTGAAAAGCACACTTGTGATCCCGAACTGTGATACTGCTGGCTGCTGAGTGTACTGTGAATATACACGTGGGTGTGAAGGCCATCCACAAAGTGTTACAAAATACGTGTTGAAACCGTCCATGATGCCTTATATATTTACTTCTATCTAACTGTGATGACAATTGTGTGTGATTCCTTTTCAAAACGTCTTATCATATGTTTGATTATTCTTCTATCTAAGCTGTTATATACAAATCCTGACTTATGTAAACTGTCTGACCGAAAGAAAGGATATACTTGAAAACTAGATGTTACCAAACTATTACAAACGTTTTCAATACGTTGTGAGGATTCCGAAGCGTAAACATTGTAAACATGACATTGCAATGTAAAGAAAACGTCGATACTCGAATCAAATATATCACCATAAAGAGAAAAGATGTTTTATTTAAGGAATGTGTATGTGCCTTCTTTTGTCCGGCAGTTTATTGAACCTCGATTTTCTATAGTAAACTGTCGTTGATTGTTCTCGAGTGCTATATCAGTTCTGTATTGTGCAATCATCGAATAAACGATCCTGAAGACTGATCACCTTGGTCATGTTTCATCACCAACACACGTCTGGACGTCGCTTCACAGTGGTACACAGTAACATTCGCATTTTGCCATATCACATGGTTGTGCTAATTTCCTCTGTGAAATATTCTGATTCAATATTCCTGAAAGAGCCTACTAAACTGGGGATAATGTAGCGGGATATTGGCTGATTGTCAGTTGTGCTCTGCTGGCGTCTCAGTGTCCCCTCGTGGTGTGTATCTGTACACTGATGGCGTCTGAGAGTATCCTCATGGGCTGTATCTATACCCTGATGGCGTCTGAGTGTATCCTCATGGCGTGTATCTGTACCCTGATGGCGTCTGAGTGTACCCTCAGTAGGTGTATCTGTACCCTGATGGCGTCTGAGTGTACCCTCATGGTGTGTTTCCGTACCCTAATGGCATCTGAGTGTATCCTCATGGCGTGTATCAATACACTGATGGCGTCTCAGTGCACCGTCATGGTGTGTATCTGTACCCTGATGGCGTCTGAGTGTACCCTCAGTGGGTGTATCTGTACCCTGGTTGCGTCTGAGTGTACCCTCATGGTGTGTTTCCGTACCCTAATGGAATCTGAGTGTATCCTCAAGGCGTGCATCAATACCCTGATGGCGTCTGAGTGTATCCTTATGGCGTGTATCTGTACCCTGATGGCATCTGAGTGTATCCTCATGGTGTGTATCTGTACCCTGATGGCGTCTGAGTGTATCCTCATGGTTTGTATCTGTACCCTGATGGCGTCTCAGTGTATCCTCATGGCGTGTATCTGTACCCTGATGGCGTGTATCTGTACCCTGATGGCGTCTGAGTGTATCTTCATGGTGTGTATCTGTACCTAATGGCGTCTGAGTGTACCCTTATGGTGTATATCTGTACCCTGATGGCGTCTGAGTGTATCCTCATGGCGTGTATCTGTACCCTGATGGCGTCTGAGTGTAGCATCATGGTGTGTATCTTTACCCTGATGGCATATGACTGTATCCTCATGGGGTGTATCTGTACCCTTATGGCGTCTGAGTGTATCCTCATGGGGTGTATCTGTACCCTGATGGCGTCTGTGTGTACCCTCAGTGGGTGTATCTGTACCCTGATGGCGTCTGAGTTACCCTCATGGGGTGTACTTGTACCCTGATGGCGTCTGAGTGTATCCTCATGGCATGTATCAATACCCTGATGGCGTCTCAGTGCACCCTCGTGGTGTGTATCTGTACCCTGATGGCGTCTGAGTGCATCCTCATGGTGTGTATCTGTACCCTGATGGCGTCTGAGTGTACCCTCATTGTGTATATCTGTACCCTGAAGGCGTCTCAGTGCACCCTCATGGTGTGTAATTGTACCCTGGAGGCATCTGAGTGTACCCTTATGGTGTATATCTGTACCCTGATGGCGTCTGAGTGTAGCATCATGGTGTGTATCTTTACCCTGATGGCATCTGACTGTATCCTCATGGGGTGTATCTGTACCCTGATGGCGTCTGAGTGTATCCCCATGGGGTGTATCTGTACCCTGATGGCGTCTGTGTGTACCCTCAGTGGGTGTATCTGTACCCTGATGGCGTCTGAGTTACCCTCATGGGGTGCACTTGTACCCTGATGGCGTCTGAGTGTATCCTCATGGCATGTATCAATACCCTGATGGCGTATCAGTGCACCCTCGTGGTGTGTATATGTACCCTGATGGCGTCTGAGTGCATCCTCATGGTGTGTATCTGTACCCTGATGGCGTCTGAGTGTACCCTCATTGTGTATATCTGTACCCTGATGGCGTCTCAGTGTATCATCATGGCGTGTATCTGTACCCTGATGGCGTCTCAGTGTACCCTCAGTGGGTGTATCTGTACACTGGTGGCGTCTCAGTGTACCTTCATGGTGTGTATCTGTACACTGATGGCGTCTCAGTGCACCCTCATGGTGTGTATCTGTTCCCTGGTGGCATATCAGTGCACCCTCATGGTGTGTATCTGTACCCTGATGGCGTCTGAGTGTACCCTCATGGTGTATATCTGTACCCTGATGGCGTCTCAGTGTACCCACAGTGGGTGTATCTGTACCCTGATGGCGTCTCAGTGTACCTTCATGGTGTGTATCTGTACCCTGGTGGCGTCTCAGTATATCCTGATGGTGTGTATTTGCACCTTGGCTGGATGTAGATGTTGACACAGATTCCCTGAGGGCTACCCCAAACTGCATAATGAATTAATGCTATCTTGAATGAATGTTGTATACCGCTCCATCACTGTCTCTCGTTTCAGACAATGCACGCCTTTTGTACAGTAGGTGAATGAGCTGAACGCCACACTCTTAACTGCAATTGAAGGTGTTCCCGACCATCTCCAAGGTTCTCTCTCATCTCCTTCACCCTGTTGTCCACATCCTAAGAGTAGCAAACAAAGAAACATCAGCAAAGTTGACATTCCGTCCACGTCAGTGGCTGTTGGAGTTGGACGTTTCAATGGGAAATGTTCGATGTCCGTTAGCATAAACAGAAAATATCCTGTCTAATCTATTCTAGCCGAAAGATGCTACCAAGCTGTGTAGTTAGTTTAGTGCACCTACGTAAAGCATGTGTCTGTTCTGGGTGTACTCCCCACTGACCTTATTAAGGCGGATTCGATTAACGGTGGATTAACAAAATGCACTTCCGGGATACCAAATTGCAAATATCAAAACTATTCAATATCAAGGCAATAAATATTGCAATACAGGGGTCAAACAGTGCTGTCTTCATTTACGCTTCTGGTTGATACACAACTTTGATAGAATTCATTGAAGAACATGATGTAGTATAACCAGCGGTCAGTGAAACCAAATGGATCTTATACTGATAGTGTGTTCTCAGACGTGGCCAGTCTGGCACAATAGCATGAGTGTCCACAGCGGACCTGCTCTCAGACGTGGCCAGTCTGGCACAATAGCATGAGTGTCCACAGCGGACCTGCTCTCAGACGTGGCCAGTCTGGCACAATAGCATGAGTGTCCACAGCGGACCTGCTCTCAGACGTGGCCAGTCTGGCACAATAGCATGAGTGTCCACAGCGGACCTGCACTCAGACGTGGCCAGTCTGGCACAATAGCATGAGTGTCCACAGCGGACCTGTCTGGCACAATAGCATGAGTGTCCACAGCGGACCTGCGTCTCAGACGTGGCCAGTCTGGCACAATAGCATGAGTGTCCACAGCGGACCTGCTCTCAGACGTGGCCAGTCTGGCACAATAGCATGAGTGTCCACAGCGGACCTGCTCTCAGACGTGGCCAGTCTGGCACAATAGCATGAGTGTCCACAGCGGACCTGCACTCAGACGTGGCCAGTCTGGCACAATAGCATGAGTGTCCACAGCGGACCTGCACTCAGACGTGGCCAGTCTGGCACAATAGCATGAGTGTCCACAGCGGACCTGCACTCAGACGTGGCCAGTCTGGCACAATAGCATCAGTGTCCACAGCGGACCTGCACTCAGACGTGGCCAGTCTGGCACAATAGCATGAGTGTCCACAGCGGACCTGCACTCAGACGTGGCCAGTCTGGCACAATAGCATGAGTGTCCACAGCGGACCTGCTCTCAGACGTGGCCAATCTGGTACAATAGCATCAGTGTCCACAGTGTGCCCCCACGCATGCCTGCAATAATCCAATCATCACTAACGACGACACCGCACGCTGGACGCTATAAATCGGATGTAAAGCAATGACACATCTTTGACAACTTGCCTTCCCTGCATTTAAACTTCACTTAATTCACACGCAACATTTGGCAGCCATACATACTTGTGCTATTAAAAGGTTGAAGAACAAAACAAAACAATACCTTATGTGATCTCCATCTCTTTATATGTAAGTATACAAGTATGTCATAAACATCGTATTAAGTTGACTTTTCTCGTCAAATACGTATCATGCCTAACGAACCAGGCCAGGTCTCTGGATGACAGTTATATATGTGAAATGTAAAACCAAAAGCTGGAGCTGCTAGGACAATGATGGACATGTTAGGTGTTTGTCAATCAGAATCTGTATACAAAGATCTATAATTACGAACCAGGTGGGATGGCCTGATTGGGGTCCTTCATGTCAAGTTCAGGTGGGTAACTAAGTAAAATGGACCCGTGACGGTAAGACTTCTTCATGGTGTATTTCACCCACACAACACAAGTAAATAGTAAATACTAACAGCTACACATAATCACAGTCATAACAATTAGAAAACAATTTCATAAAAATAAAAACAGGAATAATAAGCATGTTGAAGATCATGACTTCATAAGTATATCACAGTTTGCTTTTATTAAAAGAATACATGAAAATAGTTGATTACAATTGTTGAAACATACGTCTTACATCTACTCTCTAAAACAAGTGGAATTTGGCTACATTAATCAAAGAAGGAATTCTTGAAAAAGGTGCTGTTAATATGGGAGTGATCGGGAAGAAACATATTCTTAACACAATGATATCTAGCACATCTAGCACTAATCAACGTGAGCAAACAATTTCTATCGACTTTTCTATCGAAACGCACAGTTTCCTTATGACATCACAACTTGTCACAACCATAACCAGGAGCCAATAACCATGGTGTCCTTTCGGATCTTTATCCGAGGAAGGTCTGGATCATCCCGGCACACTAAAATACTTCCTCAACAAGAGGCGAATTAAATTATCATCATTGTTCATTGGTATGGAAGAGGGAAATGGGCGATGATGGAGAACACTCTGTAAATGTAACCGAAACATTGGCGTAGTCCTGTAGACAGGTAGGGACTCTTGTACGGTGCTTCAGACTTTAACGATGACTAACAAATAAACTGCAATTGTACATCCAACCTCGCATATTTTCTGTTACATGATAGTCCACAGTTTCATAGTCCAACAGGTATTTGAAGGCATTCTCGTATCCACTGAGATAAATGTCATGATGAACCGTTTTGAATGACTAAATCAAATTGCAGTTAAATAACACACATGGTTAATAAAGTATCCATACATAAGCCACTTTCTTTTTATTTTGAAGTTGATCAAACAAACTAGCCCGTACATTAACAACAGCAAATCAAAAGACTAATCTGTAACGACTGTGTGAAAGGGATAGCCGTACCCCTCATTGATCAACTTGAGACAACATCAGAGGCAATACAAGGCATGGATGAGGAAATCTATTCTGAAATATGTACTGCTATCATCAATTCTCAGCAACAAATAAGTCTGAGGCAAGAAACGAAACCTTGGTGTAAAGAATCCAAATTCCACATATGTGCCCGTTAGTTTGGGTGAAGTGGGTTCTACAAAATTATACATGACGAGCTCTTTTGAGGTTGATTGTTTTGGGGGTACCGTTGAGAATAAACTTGTTGGTGTTGATATGGTTGTTGATATGGTTGTCGATATGGATGCTGCTGTTGGGGTTGTTGATATGATTGCTGCTGTTGGGGTTGTTGCTGGTGCCTTGGTTGTTGAGACATCGCACTATTCCCCTTTCCCACCAGTATGATGTTTGGCACATATTGACCTATTGCCGTCAACATTTCATCAAACTTGTCTCCGTCCCACCTCTCCTGTACAGTTTCATCCTTCCCAAAGTTGATGTACTACAGCTGACTAAACACCATGCTCATCGGACCAGATGGCGGCCACGTCATCTTCTCCAGCAACAAAGGAACTATTGGTTTCTTGAGAGCATCAGCAAGACTGACTTCCCTCCGGCAGTTGGCCGACAGAGAAAACTTCGTGGTGACACACGAAAGAACGACCTTGCCCCTCGCACACCCCTGTCAATTTTGTCATAGAGGGAGTCCCCACCTCCCATTTGGTAGATGTCCATCCAGACGGTGAAGCCCATCTCAGTCAGGCGCTTGTACATGAGCTGAATCTGCTTCTGTTTTCCCCATTGGTAGGAGATGAACACATCAAGAGATGTGCTTACCCTCTTCCACCTTCTTCTCATCCGGCTTGACGTTGTTGTAGTTGACCTGCATCAGGAGTTCCTGGAACTTGGCTGCCGACCAGTACCTGATGTCACCAGTCTCCTCCCCAGGACGGGTGAAGAATCGGATGAACAGATACTCACTGAAGATTGGCCCCATTGAGCCTGGTGGAGGCCATGACAGTTTCTTCATCAACAGAGGGATGATGGGCTTACCCAGGCTTACCGAGAGGTTCACCTGAAATCGGAGTAGTTTGTAAAGTATTGAAATGAAGAAGTCAATATGTCCAATGCGGATAAACAAATACAATTCCACCACAGGGTTCCCGAGATATCAGGCAATCATACAGATTGTGCTGGAATTTCCGATTATTAGGAGGTTGTGCTGATATGAGTAAATGTGTGTTACGAACAGGAAAGTTTGTTCTTTCAGAAGCAATGCATTTAGGACAGACACATTTGACATAATCATATGCATAACATGCACATAATTTCATAGAACAGTTGATTTATTATGTACACTCTTGTACACCGACCAATACAGTCGCAATGCAAAACTAGACGCACCTCATTTCAGTTGAACTATTTCTCCCCGACTATACTACTGAACATGTTCGGTCTGAATATCTGAAACGTTCCTTCCAGTTACACTTAGTCCCATTGACTTGTTACGGGTCCATAAAGGTTTGCACTTTACATTACTTCACAATTGTTTTCAATATACAAACATACACAATTGGAAAAAAGTGATATAATTATTGTTCTCATAGAAAGGTTACATTGTTTTCATTTTCACCTCTATTGCAGTTTGGAGATTGGGTACATTTCCCAATGACACAACAGATGACGATTTTTTCCTTTAACAACGCCATTTATCACATTTTCTCAGCAATTTAAGTATTGTCCTTCTCTGGCAAGGAGGAACATTTGAAACTGTTGATGTAGTTAGAAACTAGACTTTGAGTTGAAATTAACTGGACAAATACCTCTCGATTGCAGTTTGGAGATTTGGCATACTTCCGAGTGACACAACAGATGACGAGCTTGGCTGCCCTGATTCCCTTGTCGATCTTCTCGAACAGCTTGTCTCCACCTCCCATCTGACCAATGTCCATCCAGCACGTGAAGCCCGCCTTCTCCAGCTGCTGCTTCAGAAGCTTCACCTCGTTCTGGATTCCCCACTGGTAGCTGATGAACACCTCTGGAGGCTCCGGGTACTCGAACTCTTCGTCCTCCAC